GACCACGACCACGACCACGACCACGACCACGACCACGACCACGACCAGGACCACGACCACGACCACGACCACGACCACGACGACGCCGACGCTACTGCTACCGCTACCGCTACCGCTACCGGTACCGGTACCGCTACCACTACGACTACCACTACCACTATCACTACCACTACCACTACCACTACCACTACTAGCTCCACTACCACTACTACTATACTACTACATGAGGACTGCTACTAATTAACCACCACCACCACCACTTGCCCACTTGCCATTTGCCCCTTTGCCGCATGCCCCAATTGCACCACTGGCCCTGTCCTATCTCCAGTTGACGTATTGACGTGCTGGCCCCACTTGCCCAAATGTTTGTATCTCCTGCGCGTCCATAGAAAATACAAAATACGGACTTCTAAGCCCTTTCTCTTTTTCCCCACTCGCCCTACATGCCCTGCCCCGGGACCCTGCGCATCCCAACAGTCAACTGGGTCAACTAGATCAACTGGGCTCAACCGGGTCAACTGGATCAACCAGGACACCCTGTTCAACCGGGTCAACTGGGACCACAGATTTACTGGCCCCCTGTGCCGACGCGCTCAATCTTCAGCTGCGCAGCTGGTCGGTAGATGATGGACCTCTATTGTCCAAACATTCTGCTGTGTATCAAGATCCGAAAGTCCACCAACTTCCCTATCTTGTGTATCGAGCTCCGGGAACCATTGTTTCACCTTTTGACTGACTGGCTTGGGCCATGAAACATATATATATATATATACACATAGATTTAATATCAGACGGTTCATTTGCTCCTTCACCCTTGCCCAGCCGAGGTTCTAATTTTGGACGATTCTGGCAGCATGAATGCAGGTTCCAAACCTCCAGGCCAGCGGTCTCTCACGGAGGACGGGGCCCTCAGATCGGCAGTTAGGTTGCGCGAAATGGAGGGTTCGTTCTAGGAGGTAATGCTATTGAGCTGTTATTGGGGTTCGTTAATATACACTATGCCAAAGTCAAGTCTGCCATCCAAGGCGTCCACTACAAGATGGGAAGAACTGAAAGAAACTACGGCGCTTCTGGTGGAGATTGCCTGTTGCTTCGACAAGTTTCTTTGCCATCAAGCTCTTCCAATGGGCCATGAGGGGCTGGACTCCGCTAGTACATTGGACAACTCCTAAAGGATGGTTATAATTTTTCGGGGAATGGTTTGTGTTGCGTTTAGGTACTTTTTTGTTGGACCTGATTTTTGTTGCTTTTCTGTCGCTTCTCTATGATTTCTATCTTTTTTTGCTTTGTGGTTGCTCCTGTCTTTCTTGGCTTTTCCTTTGCTTTTATTGCTTCCCTGTGATGTCGCCTGTTTGTCCTCTTGTGGGGTGTTGTTTCCTGGCTTTAATTGCTTTTGCTTTCTAAGGCTTTGTTTCCGCCGCTTTTTATTAGTTGCTTTTAAAGCATTTGAGCTTTATTCATGCTTTTCTGGCTATCTAAACTTTTTCCTACTCTTGTTGTAGTTTTCTGCTCTACTCGTTGTTGTGTTTTGTCTCACCTTGAGAGACAACCTAAGTGCATCATATGAACAACACTCTTTCAGTCTTTTCTCGGTTCTCGATGTTTGTTCGCCCTGCGGCCGGAGTTTTTGTTGTTTTTGCCTTGTGGTCCAGTTGGTTTGCATTCTTTTGCACACAGGCCCTAGACTAGATGCCCTGAAATAATCATGGTCATGGAAAATACAGTTATTTCTTCTACAAACAGCTAGCTTTCCACTTCCACTGAGGAACGACTATAGAGAAACCACGACCGCAAAAATCCTCCCAAAAACCGCTCCTTTATGGCATTCCTTCATGATTTTCCATCTCATCTCATCCATC